GGGCCTGATTCAGTGGTGGTGTGTCTGTTTTTATTAATGGGTGGGACAGGTGTGGGGTCTCTATCTAGTTTGCATCATGACTGGCAGCATGGGAGGAGCCAGCCTCAGTGGGGGCTCAGGGCCCAGGTGAGTTTAGAGCAACTTCCGTCCCAGCAGGGTCAGGGTCAGGGTGAGCCATGGTGGTGATGTGAGAGGAGGCGGGGATGGAGATGTGGAATAGAGAGGCTTGGAGTTGCCCTCAGGTGAACGGGGTAGGCATAGGGAAGAGAGTCCCTCCTGAACACAGCTCCAGGCCTCTTAGGGAGCTCCAGGAGCCATGAGTGTGCCAGCTCCTCAAAGCCTGTTCCTATGCCTGAGCTCCAATCCCACGGGCCTGTTGAGCCATAATACCCCAGCACCTCAACTAAGGAGCCTGGCCTCTCCTGCCCCCAGATTGGTATCCAGAACTACTCCATGACAAGCAGTTGCCAGGCCCGGGCCAGCCAGGTGCGTAGCGACTATGGAACACTCTTTGTGGTGCTGGTGGTCATCGGTGCCATCTGCGTCATCATCATTGTGCTGGGCTTGCTCTACAACTGCTGGCAGCGCCGGCTGCCCAAGCTCAAACACGTGGTGAGTGTGGGGACAGGTGGGGCAGGGGTCCTGGACTGGGGGTGGCACAGGTGTAGATGGGAGTGCCCAGCAAGGTCCATCAGCTGGAGATTCAGTGTCCTCGTCTCAGGTGGGCTGGCATTAGTTGTCCTGGGATGGGGTAGTGCAGGTGAAGCCATTTGTCCAGTGCCTGCATCCCAGTTCCCCTCTGTGCAGGGTGCCAGCCCCACCCACAGGGGTCCTCCATGGCACTAGCCCCTTCTAGGGGCAGGGTGGTCCTGGAGGCCTGAGCTCATCTGGATGTCTCACCAGAGAATCCCTGGGTCAGTAGTGCCCAGGGCTCAAGAAAAGGTTCCCCACAAAGGAGAGGTCATGGCAGGACTCCTATGTTCTCTGGAGTCTATAAAGAGGCTGTTGGGAGGGATCAGCTGGTACCACAAGCTTGT